TATTGGATTCGGTTCATTTCCCTGTGGAGGTCCTACTTGTCGCACATGCGAACACATACATGTTACCCATTTTTTCAAAAATAACAAGAACGGAAAATTGTTTGCGATGAATAACCTAATTTCTTGCGGAGATCAAAATATCATATACCTAATTTCTTGTAAAAAATGCGATGTACAATATGTTGGCGAGACTCAAAACGCGCTTCGAACGCGATTCAATGGCCATCGCTATGATATAGTGCATGGCAAGGATAGACCAATTGCGAATCACTTCAACCTTCCCGATCATTCCATTGATGACCTTCTCATCATGCCTATAGAAACAGTTTCTACATCACCTAGCATGAAACCTAAGCTTAGACGTCTACAACGCGAAAGTTATTGGATCGATCAACTGCAGACTGTGAGGCCAAATGGACTCAACATTCAACATGATAACCAGACAATACCCTTTATAACGACATTTGATTCTACAGCTACCAAAGCCTCCATAATAGTCAAACGCCATTACCCGGAACTTCAGAATAAATTTCCCCATGTTTACACAAAACGTTTGGTTGTAGCTTACAAAAGAAATCAAAATCTTAGCAATTTCCTCTTTCACGGTAGACTTGAACCATTGAACAATGTCCATTCATCCTAGAAGCATAGATTTCTTAATATAAATGTATCATGTTCTATCAATAACTTAATCGATTTCAGGGAATACTTATTTCAGGATTGGTGCCATGGCTATATACAGTATATTATATGTCAGAGTACGTGTATGTTTGTGTGTGTCTTTTGAATTAAAATTATACTAATGACTAAATAATTTTTACATAATTAATAGACTTATCTATTGCTCTGTGACCTAGGCCAGTGCTTTCATTGAGACTCGTTTCAATACACCCTAACACCAACTTCATATTCACGGAATCGTAAAGCTATATCAAATAAATCTACATTCATATTATGACCTTTGACTAAATAATCATTTAAAGAGTGACCTTGGAATCTAGCTTTACCATCATAAACAACTCGAACTGGTGTAGTCTCTGAATCTTTAAAAACCACATTTTTGTACCATAAGCATTATCAGTTCATATTGTGGAACTTCTCGTGCAACATCTCTAGAAACCATCCATTTGTTTGCAATAAATTTCCCATTCACGTGGACGGTTTTGAAACTGTTTCTCCAAATTGATTAAACGTTTGACAGCATAATCGTAATTATTTGGTAATTCTAACGGCGATTTCTTCCAGGGTAAGTTAATCTGATAAATACCATCTTCTAATCTAGTAACGCTATTTTGCATCTGTTCGGTAGCTGATTTCTCTTCGGCGTCAATTGCACATTTGCAACGTCGAGGTTCAATTCTCATCCGTTCGATGCCGAGAAAATCTTCAATTTCACTTACGGCAGAAACTTGCGTAAAGTTCATAATGTTATTTTTAGGTGTTTCGTTATATCGACCTCCTTGAACAAACCATCCTAAAGGACATTTAGCTGCGATAGGATCATCCTCGTTAGGGCCTATTAAGTATTGTTCTGAGGTAAGTCAATCTCCATTTTCGACTCTAAGTAGAATGTCTATTGTTTCACTGGAAGCTTGTTCAATTTCAATATTGTCCATATGTTGATATTGTTTAATCTGCGATTTGGTCACTATCGGTATCTCTCCACACGGTTTATCCATTTCAGTTAATCGAACTTTTCTCGTAAATGCTCCATTAAAGCTCTCAAGATCTGGGGTTGAATAGTAGGTGATTCAGCGTCTAGTAGTCGTTTAGCACAACGTATTAAATCACGAACGATTGGCATTGAGTTGTCTTGATCTTCGCAGAAATGTGCCTGTTCAATCATGGCTATCTCTTGTTCGGCGTTATCTAAGTCTTCTTCGGATATATATTCAACAACTTTTAGTTCTTCACATTTGAATTTAATTACATGATCAATTGTTACTTGTAATGTGTCTAAATGTTCTCGGATCATATCGGCTAAGAGTTTATATTCATCACAGGGAATCCCTTCGTCCGACTGTAAAAGTGAGAGTCCATCTTTAACGAGATTGTTTTTTTTTCTCTTGGCTCTTGGCGTTTCCGCGAAGCATTTTAGCTTCTCTGACAGTGCGTGGGGTTTCAAACGACATACTGGGTTAATACAGCAATATACCATGTTGATATACGATAAATGGCTATACGATGAAAACAACCAAGTATTCAATATAAACAAAGATGACGTCACTATATGTCCAAAGCGGGAGATAACTCACCACCACGTTTTCTATTGTCGATGGAATAAAAACGATAAATTCTTGTTACGGGATTGTCCATTGATTGAAAAAGATGTTACGGAATGCAAACGATGAATTCAAAATACACGTTGAAACAATTCTTATGGTCAACAAAACACGAAAGTTCATTTGTTCTGATATTATTGAGCACAAGTTATATTATATAAAAAATATAAAATAAAGTATTTTTCAATCGTGTCAAAATCCAGCCATTAAGATGCATTAAAACAATGATCGTACAAATTGCCAAATTTTGACGGAAACGAAAAATTAACTTTACGAAACGAAAAATAGGTGGGAACAAACTTACAATAATACAACTACGCACATAGTATGCAATGTATTCATGTTGGACTGCCCCATTTAAAAACTGACATACAATTCGCCATTATTTCTAACCTGACAAATATGGCCATACCCGTTCGTCAGAGCGATACAGTGACTAAACTACCAAAGGGACTGGTTGAACCAAGTCCACGGGCCCCAACACCGAGAAATAATGGATACAGTCGGCTTAATATTTGCTTTACAAACTGATCAAGGACGTATCACTTTATAAAATGAAAATCTGTAACCTAGTTTGTCAACAAATAAATGAAGACTTATCTACGGAATTGACGAGAACCAAAATTCTCCCATTCAGATATTAACATTGACGTCATAATATCAATAATTTGGGGTCACGGATATTAAGATAGATGCTACTTCCGTCGATATTTGCTTAAGCAGAGACGAACTAAGTGTATGATTTTCCTTTTGAACATGGATATGGCTGTGAGCTCATAATTTAGAAACTTTCAGCTGACTAAACTAGTGTTTGGAATAAATGATATTACCCTTTGAGGAAATTTGTTGTTTTCTTGGTGGGTGAAAACGGTATTTTTAAAGTGGTACGTAAGGACGGTTTATCTATCTTTCCCAACTACACTCATTGTGAGACACCACCCCTTATTATGCAGTCAGCTTATTCAAGGGAGACAACTCAGATTGTCATATGGTAAAAACGATAAATTCTTCTTACTGGAGATGTTACGGAATGCAAACTAACATGCATAAAAACAATGATCGTACAAATTGCCAAACATACACGTACTCTGACATATAATATACTGTATATAGCCATGGCACCAATACTGAAATAAGTATTCCCTGAAATCTAACTTAGAAATCGATTAAGTTATTGATAGAACATGATACATTTATATTAAGAAATCTATGCTTCTAGGATGAATGGACATTGTTCAATGGTTCAAGTCTACCGTGAAAGAGGAAATTGCTAAGATTTTGATTTCTTTTGTAAGCTACAACCAAACGTTTTGTGTATACATGGGGAAATTTATTCAGAAGTTCCGAGTAATGGCGTTTGACTATTATGGAGGCTTTGGTAGCTGTAGAATCAAATGTCGTTATAAAGGGTATTATCTGGTTATCATGTTGAATGTTGAGTCCAT